CAGAAAACGAACCAGACCATACCATGGGAGTGCAGGGCGAATTCAAGAAAGCAGCCAACCGCACTGCTGACACTGCGCGAAGTCTCCACACAACATTGGGCACTGATGTGGGGGGTCGAGGAAGCGCCTGCCCTCTCGCCCCAAAACATCCGACATCACGGCGACTCAATGATTACGCGCTTTCCGAGCCAGTCAACCCGCAAATCGGACAGGAGCAGAAGCCGCAGAAGGGGGCCTGAACCTGCTTCGACAAGTGACCAGCCACAGCGTCGGCCACCGCATTCGCCGGCGCAGCGCCAAGGTTCAGACCCCCACGCGCGGCCTCCTCAACCGCAATGTGGCTCGGACTCTGAATGAGAAGAACATCGCCACATCTGTCCAGAGCGCCTTTGACACGGCTCCAGAGGTAGGCGTGGGTCCGAATTCGCCCCTGGAGGCCAGCCTGGATTCGAGCGAGAACTCTAGGCCGAGTCCGCGACGCACCCCAGCCTGGCTTGATCAGGGGCCTCTTTGAGGAAGGCCAGGCCCGCCCGCCATTCCCCGCGATTGGCAAACTCCTCGCCGAAGATTCCGCCCCCCTGCGCACGCCGGGCGCCCGCGCCAGACACTCTCTTTTTTTGTGTGTGCGTGTGTGTGTGTGTGTGTGTGTGTGTGTGTGTGTGTGTGTGTGTGTGTGTGTGTGTGTGTGCGTGTGCGTGTGCGTGTGCGTGTGCGTGTGCGTGTGTGTGTGTGTGTGTGTGTGTGTGTGTGTGTGTGTGTGTGTGTGTGTGTGTGTGTGTGTGTGTGTGTGTGTGTGTGTGTGTGTGTGTGTGTGTGTGTGTGTGTGTGTGTGTGTGTGCGTGCGTGTGTGACGTCATGGCCGAACGCCGCGACGCCCCGTGACGCCCTCCACAGAGGTCTGCCCTCGAGGGGCCCCCGCCGCTCGCGCCCCCGACGCCCCGGGCGCGAGATCCCCCGCCCGGGCCAAGAGACGCGCCAGCGGCGGAGAGGAGCGGGTCGTCGGGAGGGGGGGGGGGGGGGGCATGGGCCCAGGATCGAGGCGCGAGACCGCGAAGCCAAACACGAAGACAAACTGCTGCCGTGGATGCACCTTTCCGCGAAACCGCTTCGCGATTTCCTGGAACTCCGCATTGCAGGGCATTTCCCAAAACGGTGGATATCAGCTTCAAGTGCCAACCCGCAACGCGACCAGGTGAGCTCACGCCCGCCTCCGCGCGCCAGGATTCGGGGCCGCGTCCGGGCCGCCCCAATCAGCGCGGACCGCGGCAGACCCCACTGCTGGAACGGCTTCTCCCGCGGTTGCCGCCGCGGGGCCGCGATGTCGACGCCTGATGCAAGCCCCCCCCCCCCCCTCTCGATTGCGGAACTCGGCGGCAACGGGCCGCGAGCGATTCTCGATGCTACGGTTCACCCCCCTTTTAAAATCAGACGCCATGCGAGCCCGGGGACGAGGCTCACCAGGTTCAGCGAAGACATCGCCCCCAGGAGCAACCCAAGACAAATTGCCCTCGAGCTCCCACCCCAGGGCCGACATAGTGGCAACCGCATCAGAGACTGGCCCTTCAATATTGAGTCACCTGCGCTGGGGAGCAGGCACCGAGGCAACGATCCGAAACCAGGACTCCGACAGCTGAAACGCAGCGGCGAAAGCATGGTCCGCAGGGCGGCGAGACATCGCCCTGCCGCGCCACGAGTTAAAACACTGGCCAATGCTCGTCGCCACCTGCGGAGGACCGAGGGCGCGACCCCAAATGCCTTCCAGTCGTAGGGCGCCCGCGGTAAAGCCCCTGCGAGAAACGCGCGCGCCCCGATCTTGCGGGGGGCAACGGCGGCCAGCTTATCAATTCGATGGGCCCGACGCTGAGCCTGACTGAGACACTTGGAATGACGTGGCCTGGCGCCTGCTACGCCGCTGCCGCTCTCGATGCTTACGTCCGCCGCAACCGAGGCCACCTCGACCTGGGCGCCTTCCGGTCCTAGACCAGCTTGTTTAGCGCGCCGCCACGAGCACAGACGCCACCATAGTAGACTTCCCGGCAATATTACGCTGCTCGCGAGCGCAGCCCGAAGCAAAAACAGCCCCGGCATGGACGAACTCGCGAACGGCATCCCGCTTCAATACCTCCGCGCACTGAGTGACATCATCAATCCACGTGCGAAGCGGCGCACGAGCACCGCCGGCGCACGAGCACTCGCACATTTCAAACATCTGACACTTCGAGAAGTCGCGGGCCCTGCGAGTGCCCGCATCGAGCCCCCGTGAGGAAGGATGGAGGGGCGCGAGCCCCCTCGCCCCGAAACAACCGAGGCCCCATGCGGAGGGCCCCCATCCAAGGCCAAGGGGCGCGGCGGGATATCCAAGTCAATGGCGTGACCCACGACTCTCTCGTCGAATCGGGTCATAGAACGCCCCCGCGCCCCGCGAAACCGAGGCAGAGCAACGTCCGGGCAACGGCGAGGCAATAGACGCTTCATTTGCGCAACACCTGAGCAGAGCCTCTTGTAGAGCGCTGCTGCCTCGAACCGCGGCGCCCCGAGGACCAGAGCGAGCCGCGGCCCGCGCCTCCGCGGGCCGAGACCGCCTGCGGCTCCACAAACGGCCCAACCAGGTGAGCAATCCCATGGCTCGATCCTTACGCGCATCAGGCTTGCGAAGCAGCGCGATCATCGCAGTGGGCCACTGCCGTGGCCGCGCGACCTTCGATTCGACATTGCGAACAAACTGCGAGCAGCGCGCGGCGGCCAGACTCAGGCAGCCGCAGAGCGCCCCCCTGGCCGACCGCCTCGCCGCCGCGAGCCTTGCGCGGCGGCGCGCAGCTCAAAGCCGTCTCTAGCTGGCCCAGCGCGAGGGGCTCCAACGGCTCCTGGAGAGCCAGGCTGCGGGCGCGGGCCAGCGGCATGAGTTCCGCGGTGACGCCCGCGCCTCTGCCTTGGCCTCCACCGCCGAGGCCGCGTCGCATAAGGTCACGCCGCCAGCTCGCAGCTCGCGCGCCTCGGCCGCGGGGCCCGAACAAGCCGACGACGGACTCCGCGTCCAAGGACGGCTTGTTGGCGAACCCAATCACGAAAATCTTGGCGCCTCTGCCGAACGACGGTGCGCTGGGTCCGGCCGGGGGCCCTGCGCGCCCCCTCCGCAAAAGCCTTGAGCGACGCGCGCGCGGCGCCCTCGAGAGCCCGGAGACCCGTGAGCCAACGGCCGCGCATGCGAGTTGGCATGGGCGCGCTCTGCGAGCCAGCCAGCTGCCGAAGTCGTTCGCGAAGGCGTCGTGCTCTATGTAGGTATCGTTTCACTTCTGGCCCGCCAGCTCGTCGAGCAAGTTAGCCGCAGAGCCCCGCGGCCGAGCGCTTGGGCCAGCCGCCGTCGGACGCGGCTTGCCGCCTTCATGACCTCCCAACTGCGGCCCGCGAAGTCCCGAACGATCGCGGGGCTGCTTCCTCGCCGTAGGGTCGGCTTTAGCCAACTCTGAGTAGGGCAACTCCACGGTCGAAACCTACCGCGCGAACTCGGCGCCCAACTCGCGGGCTTCGCTCTCGGCCGCCTGGGGAACCAAAGAGTGCTGAACAACATCAAAAATAAGAGGCCCCAGAAACGCGGGCGCCACCGGCTGCGCCGACAAATCCTTCGCCTGCGAAGACCACTCCGCCAGTGTAGATGCATGCGCGCCCGCAGTCCCAGACGGCCACCTGCGGCATCATCATGCATCGTGAACGTCCGTCTCCTCCGCATCCGTGAAGAATTGGCCCTCATCCTCGCCAAACAAAGAATGCTGCAAGGGCGGCGAGCTCTCGATGGCGAGCTCGCACCTGGGGCCCCGAGGCGACGGGGCCGGCGCGATTGGAAGCAGCGGCCGCGCCTCTCGCCGATCCGGGGCTGCGTCCCGAGACCGCTCGCCATCAGAAGCGGCGGCAATCTTTGGCCTCGCTGGATGGGGGAAGGCCCTCGGGACCTTCATGGAACATGCCCTGGCCCTGGTCCGACTGGCGTCGAAGTTGAGGGTGGGCCCCAGCCCGTAGCGGGCCTTCCCCGCCCCGCCCACCGCGCGAAAATTTGCCGCCGGCCCCTGAACCCAAGGCAAGGCGTGCTGAGAGACCACCATGTAATCCGACATTCGCCCAGGCCCCAAAGTGCACGCGCGCCGCGCGTTGGGCGGAACAGCGGCAGATCCATCCACCGCTGATCACCAGCCCGTGCCAGCCAACTCTGTCGGCGCCATGTTCCAGTTGCCGATGGCCAGCCACGGCCCCTGGATGGCGGAGACCAGCGCGCCCGCATTGGCCAACTTAGGGGCGTTCGCCTCGGGCCCCGCCGACGACGTCTTATACGCGTCCTCGATCCACGGCGACTGGCGACGGGCTCGCAACTGCATGCCCACCATGTCCCGAAAGTCGATGCCAGGCTGGCCCCCCCCCACCCCCCCAGGTCGCGCAAGCCAACTTGGTCCGATGCCGACGTCGCCAAATGCCGCATCGACTGCACCTTGAACTTGTTCAGAGTGCCCGTGGTGGTGCCGCCCGCTCGACTCGCGCCGTTGGCCTCACGCGCGGCCGAAAGCGCGCCGATGTAACCGTCCTTGCGCCACTCGCGCAATGGCCCGTGAGAGACCGTCGAGAAAAAGTGGACCCCGGGGAAAACGAGGATATCCGCGGCGCGACCGCGACGCTGCGAGCGCGCATCAGGGCCCGAACCTGCCGAATTTCGCATGTGCGAGATCGCCTCGCACGCGCCGCGCTGTCTGCCGCGGCTGGCTCGGCCCCCCCCACTCCTCCCCCGAGGCCTATTGCCGCGCCCCGCGCGGTCGCCTGGGAGAGGGGCGGGGGCGGATGGGCCCGGGCCTGCTCTGGGAATGCCGCCGCGGCCACGGGCCCCGCGCGACGTGTAGGGGCCGGGCTCGATGCCATAGCTGGCAGGCGTGCCCCTCGAACCAAAAACCCGCCATGCTCGATGAGGTTGCGCGCGCAAGAGAAACGGCGCTGCCTCCGTGCTCGCCGCGGACCTCGCTTCAACCAGCATCGCCTCCGCATTCCGTCTTCAGCGTGAGCTTGAATGCTGCCAATCTGGCCTCCTCAACCGCGTCGGGATCGCCCGCGACCGCCTGCCCTGCGTGGTCATCGGCCTGCCCGGCCGCCGCTGCCGACGCCGACGCGCCCGCGCTGCCCGCCCCTGCCGCGGGCGGCAGCGCAGGGAGTGCTCCCTGCGGCGCTTGGTGACCTTCTCGTGCGTCTCAGAGAACTTCTCGCGGCGCTCCTCCAGCTCCTCGCCCGCCTCGCCAGACGTCGCCTTCAGCGTGTGCATCGACGCCTCCATCGCCGCCTTCTTCCTCTTATCCAGCTCGACGACGTCGCTCTGCTCCTTGGGGCCGTCGGCATTGCTGAGCTCCTCGCCAAGAGAGGTCGGGGAACATCGGTTCATCCACAGCCGACGCCGACAGCAACGCCGACAAGTCGCTGGTGCCTCCTTTCACTGTAGCACCTGCGGCAACAACAGTGGTTGGCACCATGGAGCGGAAGAGCGCGGCCCTCTCGGCCTCTGCCTTTGCAAAGGTGCTCGCCGCCTCCTGCAAAGATGCCTTGCACCTCTCGAGCTCCATCGTCAGCTTGAGCTGCTGCGCCTGCGCCTTGTCGAATGCCGTCTGCGCCCTCTGGACCTTCGACGCCGCCGCTGTCGCCCGATGCGTGATGGGCTGCGTCGACTCGAGCTTCTTGCCCGCGGCTCGAGTAGCGTCCAGCAAGGCCTGGGTCCTCGCCTGCTCGGTGCCCCCTGCGGTCCTTGATGACCGCCTCCAGCTGCGCCTCCAACGCCGTCGAGGACTGGTTTCCATTGCCTTTGCCGCCGCCCTTGGGCAAGTTGGGCGCAACACCCTCGCCATCACGCTCGGGCGGCGGCTGGAGTTTGGACACACATGCCAGCGAGAGCACGCCGAACATTTCACTTTAGGGAGGTCGCTGGGCCCCAGGCAGGGGCGGTGGCGGCGGAATGAACCACTGCGGCTGCTGAGCCACATGCCATGGCGCCCACCCGATGCCGTTGCCGCGAGGACCCACGGCATGCTGGGGTCCAGGCTGGATGGGGGAGCGGCAGCCACGGATCGCCCGCTTGCGCCTCCTGCGCCTTCCACTGATGGCGCCATTTTTTTTTTTTTTTTTTTTTTTTTTTTTTTTTATCATCAGGGCTGAACGACTACTCGTGATCAGAATCCCCGAACTCGAAGACTGCATACCCTAGCCGATATCGCGTGGATATTGTCGGTGGTCTCACAAGTCCGTTGCGCCCTCTTGGCACGGCAGGCGGTCGAGGCCAAAATGGCTGGAGGAAGCGGAGGAGGAGGCGGAGGAGGAGGAGGAGGAGGAGGCGGAGGACAAGGCGGAGGAGGAGGAGGAGGCGGAGGAGGAGGAGGAGGAGGGGAGGAGGAGAAACAGGAGAGAGGCCAGGGAGGGAAGGAGGAGGAGGGATAGGAGAGGAGGAGGAGGACGGAGGAGGAGGTAGATGAGAGGGAGGAGTAGGAGTAGGAGAAGGAGGAGGGAGGAGGAAGAGGGAGGGAAGGGAGAAAGGGGGGAGGAGGAGGAGGCGGATACTGGAGGAGGGGGAGGAGGAGGATGGGGGTGTAGGAGGCAGAGTAGGATAGGATAGGGGGAGGGAGGAGGCAAGGAGGAGGGAGGAGGAGGGGAGGAAGGAGGGCAGGGATGAGGGGCGAGGGAGGAGAGTCGTGGGAGGTGCAGTAGACGGATGAAGGAGGAGGAGGATGAGGGAAGGAGATGATTAGAGGCGGAGGGTCGAAAGGGAGGACGAAGGTAGGGTGAGGAGGAGGACGAAAAGATCACTCTGGGGAACTGCGAGGTTCGAATTCCGATGTTCGAGGTGGTCTTTCATCGTTTTCGGCCTCTAGGGGGCGGGTTCGGGCACCGGGACCCCCAGAACTCGATTCGGCGTGACAAACCTCGTCGGATGGACCGGGAGGGCTCGGGGGACCGATTTTGACCGACATTCGGCGGCGCGCCAGGGGGAAGTGAGGAGAAGGCCTTCTCAGAAGGCGGCGGGACTTCTCAGAAGCCCTCGCGCCCACTGACAGGCTTTCTGCGCCTGCGGGGAAGGCGTAGGAAACTTCTCAGAAGGCCGGCGGACCTCCGAGCCTTCTGAGAAGGCCCGCCCCTCCTCCCCCTCCTTCTCCTCCTCCTCCTCCTCCCTTCCGCCTCCCTCCGCCCTCTTCTCCTCCTCCCCTCCTCCTCCTCGCTCTTTCTCCTCCTCCTCGTTTCTCCGCCTCCTCCTCCTTCCTCCCTCCCTCCTCCCTCCCTCCTTCCCTCCCTAGCGCCTCCCCTCCCTCCCCTCCCTCCTCCCTCCCCCCCTCCCCCCCCCTTCTCCCCCCCCCCCCCACCTCCCCCTCCCCCTCCCCCTCCCCCTCCTCCTCCTCCTCCTCCTCCTCCTCCTCCTCCTCCTCCTCCTCCTCCTCCTCATGCTTCACCCCTCGGCTTCCTCTGAGAAGACCCGCCCCTTCTCACTTCCCCCCTGGGCTCGCCGCCGATGGATCCCTGGAGAGCACAAGTCCGGCACAAAGATACGTAAGCCTTCGACGGCCCGCCCAGATTGCTTTTGGAGGCCTGGAAGTCGGCATCCTAGATTTCGGTGTTAGTGCTAATATTTGGGCCACCTTGGAAGCCAGGATATCACTACCATCACCGAGATCGAGATCTTCTTCATCGGTGGAGGCACACGGCCGATCTTGGTGTTGGTGTCAACCTCTAGGCCTGCGATTCTTGGATGATCTGCCCTGGACCCCCCCGTCCGTGGCGCGCGTGGCACGCCATAGGGGCGGCGCCAGAGGCGCCGCCAGAGGGGTCCGGCGCAGATCCTAGAAGTGCGCGCGGACCGTCGAACATTTTTTGTCTGCGCAATTCTTCCTGCGGCGGCGAGCGAGGGGGGGAAGTGAGAAGGAGAAGGCCATCTCAGAAGGCGGCGGGACTTCTCAGAAGCCCTCGCACCCTCGGAGAAGTTGTTTCTGCCTTCGAGGAAGTCCTGGAAAACTTCTCAGAAGGCCGGAGGACTTCCGAGCCTTCTGAGAAGGCCCGCCCCGTCTCGCTTCGTTCTCCTCCTCCTCCTCCTCTTCCTCTCCTCCTCCTCCTCCTCCTCCTCCTACCTCCCCTTCCCTCCCTCCTCCCTCCCTCCCTCCCTCCCTCCCTCCCTCCCTCCCTCCTCCTCCCTCTGGGCGCGCCGCCGATTCCTTCTTCGAGCTCCAGGGCGCGATCCCGTGGCCGCGCGGTCGCGTGGGTGCGTGCCGCGCGGGGCCACTGCGAGAGCGCGCCGGCCGGCTCCGTGGGTCGCGGCCCAGGGGGGCCCGGCCCGCGAGGCCGCGGACGTGAATGCGGCCAGACCTGGGGCAGAAGAGCATCCTTCAGGAGCATTCGGGGGTGCCCTGCCCCGGGAGGCACAGAAACATCCGGCAGCCGCGAGGAACACTACGGTACCCTTCCCGCACCTCTCTCTCTCTCTCTCTCGCACAAACACCAGCAGCAGCACACACATGCGCGCGCGCACAGACTTGCGGCCACGCGCGCGGCGGCGTAGCACACGCGCAGGCACGCACTCCTCTTCATTGGAAGCAGTGTTTTAACATAGTAGTCAACACAAAGATGCTACACATCAACAAGACCAACACAAACTCGGCGGCCGAGCGCAGCGAGGGGGGCTGCCCCGGACCGCCGAGGGCAGGCGGGGAGTGCGAGCGCCGAGGGGCAAGAGGTGAGCCGCAGGGCCTCTCGGGATCTCTCGGGGCCTGGCCGTGGCGCCGGCCACCGAGGAGCCACGCCGACAGAGGATGCGTCGACCCCGATCCCAGGCTTCGTGGGGTTGTCGACTGGACCAGGAGCGTGGGGCCCAATCCTGGGATATACGACAACGGGGCGCCCGTCCTCGATCAGCGGGTGCGTCCGAGCAGTCCCCTTGGGGCGCATCCCAAGGCTTCCCTCCTTTACTGAGCGGCTTCGTTTTTCGTCGAAATGTCGGGGGCTGGGGAGAACAATCGCCTGCGACTCAAGACAAGAACCGCCAGAACTGACAGTGAGCATGCTCCCAGGACGCCCCTGGACAACTTCTAGACACTTGGAGAAGCTCAAGAGCGCTCGGGACCCCCCTGAACTTGCCAGAGCTATGGGGGCCCTCCAGAAGATCCCCAATGGCACCTCGGCCCGTGCCGCCACAATCCGCAAGCCGAACGCAAAACCTGGCATTCAAGACGGGCTAGAGAGATGGCCCAAGATCGCCTCCGATACGGTCCCAATTGGCCTCCAAGACGGCCAAGATGGCCCAAGACGAGCCGCAGATGGCTCCAAGACATCCCAATACATGCTATGTTGCTATGCACTTTACAAATCCAGCAGATGAGTCCTTCCTCGATGACATGGTTTATTATTGGCAATGCAACATGGTATGCGGAGCCATGCTGTAGAATGTATGTCATGATGTTGTAATTATGCTATGCGCGTGCGACCTTTGAGCTTGCACGAGAAACCACTGCCCAGGTGGCATGAAGCTGGCCGCGCACTCTGGGCTATCATTACCGCCCCTTTGCGCAAAAGAAGAGGCTCCTTCGGCAAGGCCCGTCGGGAAGAAACATAGCGTGATTGAATCAAGTGCGTGTGTGTGTGTGTGTGTCCTTATATCGTTTGGCACCGTACACGTGCCTAAACAGAAGAAGCATACACTGTTGTCCCTCGCCGCTGTCCGCATCAATTCCTGATGGTGCCGCGCGACGCTCTACCATGCGAACCCGTCGTCCCCTCCCCTTCTCTTGGCGGCGAGCGAGGGGTAGCGAGAAGGAGAAGGCCTTCTCAGAAGGAGGCGGACTCCTCGGAAGCCCTCGCGCCTTCTAAGGAGTGTTCTGCTGTGTTTTTTTGGGAAGGCTCTGAACACTTCTCAGAAGGCCCGGGGACTTCCGAGCCTTCTGAGAAGGCCCGCCCCTTCTCACATCCCCACTGGGCGCGCCGCCGAGATTAGTTGCGTCTGATTGCAATCAATTTTGAAACAAGCTGGTGAGGGGATCGACTACAGAATTGACGTGCCCCAAATTTGGTTTTCAGGTCGAATCTTCAACAACTCTAAGCAGAATTGCCGTTGATCTGCGAAATTTCTACGCATGTTTTGAGCAGGGACCGACCGTCCCGGCATTCTTATAGTCCTACCACGAAATGTTTTTAGAACCCCAAGCTGTTCTAAGAACAGAAGCAAGGTTCTTAGAACATAAGCCCGATGAGTCAAAACAAGACAGTCCCGTCCAGAAATGTTCCAAGAACATTTCGTGGGAACCACAAGAGTTTCTTATAACACTGTTTGGTAGGCCTATCGGCACGCCAAAACTCTTCGCCACTGCTTGAATGTTCCGTGGATGCTCACTTCCCACCCGGACTCGCCGCCGCTCGCGCCCCTCGTGGCCGTCCTGGCCCCCCCCTCCCGCAGGGCTATACTTGTGGATGCCACGACAATGGACACCCTGACAGTCCTATCATCGAATTAAAGCTGTGTTGAAATTGTAGGAAATGACATGAACATGTTTTTAACCAGTGTTTTACATGTTTACAACAGTTTGAACACATGTGTTAGACATCTGGAACTTATTCGGCAACATGCTTCCTCTCCATTAATCGTCCTCCACACGGCTATACGGGGCGGGAGAGGCGCCTCCCGCAGCTTCTGGGCCGACAGCTTGGACGCGCGCCCGGCCCACACGAGCACACCCTGGCCGGACCCGCGCGGGAAGAGCCGGCGCGGGGGGGGGGGGAGGTTGCGCGTGAGGCCTTCGGCAGGCGAGTCGAACACAGCAGGAACTCGACCTAAAAAGAGGCCTGCCACAGGAAACCCAACCCTGAGACCCCAGGACGTCCACGGAGATCTTTAGTGTGGGAACGCCACGCTTTCCATGGCAAGACCATCGCAAAACCCAGCAAAAACACCCAGGGCACTCTGGAGGCGAGCAGGGTGTTCCTTGGCATGGGTTTCCACTGCATGGGTTCCAGACGACACCTGCCATGCCACCGTGCCCCGTAGGCGACACACAGAACTCCGCACCCGCAGCCTCGCGGGCCGGGCCCTTGAAACGTGCCTCCCTCCTCCCTCCTCCCTCCTCCTCCCCCCTCCTCCTCCTCCTCCCTCCTCCTCCTCCTCCTCCCCTCCTCCTCCTCCTCCTCCTCCTCTTCCTTCCTCCTCCTCCTCCTCCTCCTCCTCCCTCCTTCGGATGCACGGGCGCTTCTGCGCGGCGGCTCCGCGCGGATCGCACCCGTGCGGCCGCACGTCCGGGAATGGCGCCCCAGCCATCTGGACCGCGAGGGCCAGGAGACGGACGCGCTCGCCGCCCGCGGGTGGCTTCGCTTCGAGGCACCTGGAGTACCCTCAAATCCCCTGCTCGATCCCCTGCGTACTCGCCCTCCGTCCAGGACCACAGGGAATCCTCCTACTACTCCTTCCTCCTCCTCCTCCTCCTGTTGAACCAGTTGAACGCTGCATAGGACTCCCGCACAGTCGCAAGAATCCTAGCAAAAACCACAAGAGAGGGCCTTACCTCCCTCGGGGCACCTGGACGCTCCGTCCGAACACCGCACGGGAGCTGGGGTCCTTGCCTGCGATCAGCATGGCCAAGGACTTCTCAGCAGCCGAAATACGCGGGCGCTCGTGACACGGGTCTTTCAGGTACCGACTGCGGGCAACCCCAAACGCCGCGCATTTCCGACACCACACCACAGTCCCCGACGGACCAGACCCCATCCAGAGAACGTGGGAGCGGTGGGCAGATGCGGCGATGGCAGGTATGCCACGGCACGGGAAGGCGGCGAGGGTTCCTCTGGACCTCGCCTTCGTCCCGCACTCCTCGCAAATAAAACTCTTCCCCTCTCTACAGATCGTGTGTCCGTTGGGGTCAGCAACTAATTGGAGCTGTGGGGTGTCCCTGGCGGGCCTCTTGGACTTGGGCGCCCGATAGCGCTCCACATCCTTGAGCCCATGCCTCGAGACCTCCCCCAACATCAGCCCGAGAAATCTCCCCACCTGCAAAATGCCTGGGGCGACCGTCCTGTACCAGCTCCTCGCAGGCTCTGGCTGAGCCTGAAGCAGGTCCCTTCACGCGCAAGGCGGTCGGCTTCTCGATTGCCCCGCCAGGCATAGAAAGGAACATTTCTTGAAACAGCTTCACCGTACGAGAGGTGAGACTTGATCTTGCACAGCTGGATGTTGCTCCATCCAATATCTCGAGCTTTGGCCAAGACCTCAATCCAGACCTCAGAAAACGCCAACCTCGAAACATCTTGGTCTGGGCCAAAGCTCCATACGTCCATTAAAACCTTGCAATCCGTCCAGATCTCTAAAGGGCCAGCCTCTGCTAGCCTCAGGGCCATCCTGAGAGCCCACAACTCTCCGCCGAGGTTGGACTGAAGCGGGTGTGGGAGGGGCCATAAAGACTCCCCAGGATGGTCCCTTGCCTATCTACTGAAACTGCCGCCCAGCCAGCTCGTGTACACCACGGCAGCCCAGGGTCGATGGCAGATCCATCCACGCAGATTATTCCTTCCAGAAATCCGTGCCTAGGGAAAACATGCCACTGCCATTCTTGCTGAACGATCGGGCTGGGAGTGTGACTGATAGGTGACGCCATCAGCCCTCGAGTGTAAAACAAACGCCATCGCGGTTCCGTGGCCGAGGACCCCGCTTGGACGAGACGCTGAAACCCAAGGGTCTGACGGTGCCCATGGAAAGCAGGGCAGACATAGCACCGATGCTTCTTGCACCCCCAAGGGTGCCCACAAACCTGACACTCAGCGGATGCAGAGCGCCTGTCCAGGAAAAGGTCCACCTGAGCAGCCATGCCTCCCGATGCCACTGCGGCAAGGAGAGAGGCTTCCAGGCCCTTACCAGAGGCGCGGAAATCTTGGCACACCTCATGCAACGGTTCAAGGCAGGGGCGGAAGGGGGCGTCACATCCTACAGCCTCATCACTAATCGTCAGGTCGCGAAGGAGCATGTCCTTCGTGCCAGCATCCACGATCGTTTTCACCGTCCGACTCCCATACGCCTGCAGGTCCAGACAGAGCCCAGTGTCCGTTTCCCAGCAGTCCCAACTACAAGGTAGCCACCCAAGACGCCTCAAGGTCATCAGCGTGGCCCCCGCAGGGCCTGTGACTTGCTGCCAACCATGAACCGTCTGACGAATGCCCTCGAACACGACCTTCATCTCATTGTGCGGAGCCCAGCCCAGATGCACAGCGTTAGCCCAAGACATCAGGGGGCGGAGTTAGCAACATACGCTGGGTCGGCCTGCGGCGTCGGCGACAGCATGAAGCCAATCGTGCGACTCCTGCCCTTGGCCTGCCCGAACACCGCCTCGCCCGCCACCGAGCGCAGCTGCTGGAGGGATCTGTCCGACACCCCTGTGACCGAGGCCCCGTAGAGTCCTGCTGGATTGGCTCCTGCGCGCACTATCCTGGTCAACATCTTGAAGGACGATCTCAACCCTCGGAACCTGTGGGCCCTACGCTTGAGCTTGGCCACTCGGGCCTTCTGCACGGGATTCCTACGGGTCTTTCCCATAGTGAAATCCACTCCGAGATTCCTCGCCACCGAGGCCCCAGTGAACCCCCACCTGGCCAGGGCTCGCTCAGAACTTTTGACGACATCAGGGTGGGTCGACACGATTTTTCCCTTAGCCCTGGCCAGGACAAGGTCCAACTCCTCGAGCTTCCTGCAGGCGAAGCCGACGACAACTGGCAGGATGTCACGCACAAACTTCCTGCTACCACGAACACGTACCGTGATATCGCCCACCACGTTGTACACACGCGCGAAAGGAAATTCCTCCTTCACACAGTCCAACATGCGAATCACTAACACCTTCAGAAGAGTAGTGGCGAACGTGCACCCTGCAACAATCGCCTGCTCCGACATGACTGGCGCTGATGCTACCTGGCCTACCACGAGGAGGCGAGGACAACGGTATACACGCAGCAGCAATCGGAGTATATCAAATGGGAACTTCGTCATCTGGGCCGCATCGATCAAATGTCCATGCATCACTCTCTCGTACGCCTTGGACAAATCGAGCAGGCCCGTCCCTGCACATGTGTGCGTAATCCGCGCATGCTCTGCAGTGAAGGCCTGCTCCCAGACTCCACGTTCACACGACATGCCTGTGCTACCAAAAAAGAAATCACGCTTATTCTTCATCTCCCACTCACGAGCGACCGATCTGGCACAGCGTCCCCACACTCTCACCACGGTGGGCAGGAGACCTATGGGCCGAAATCCGCCCTCGGGCTTCTCGATCTTTGCAATCATGATCAATGAAACCAGGGAGGGGAGCCTGCCCGTGTCCAGCATCCAATGCCAAAGTAAGCCCAATACTGTGAGGCCGCGGTCCGACAGACACATCAGGTCACGAGGGCTCAACCTGTCGGCCCCGACTGCCGTCCGCTCCTTGAAAGTCCTGGCCACCCTGCGGATGGTGTGGCAGTCGAAGGGCGGGATGCTGGCGGCCTCCTGCGGGTCAAAGCCTTCCCTCTCCAGCATGATGGACAGGCACTTGAGAGGGTCGAGCTTGCCGCTGGCCGTCTCCACGCCCGCATCCTCGACGGGCGCCGATGCTCCCCAGATCTCACTCCACTCATGCTGTAACCTCTCAACTTGCTCACCGAGCCCCAAGGGAGCCCCGTCAGGTCCAGGCGCGGAAGGTTTCCATCCCACAGGCGATTTCGTGAATCGGTGGGCTTTACCCGCTCCGTGCTCACATGCTTCAGCAACCCACCTCCTCCAAGCTGTGCCTCTGGCCCTCGCAAAGGCCTGCTCCAGCAAAGATGCGAAGTAGGCTGCCTCTCTCGAATACTCATCCAGCTGCCCGTCTGTCAGAGCCAGAATGCCTTCGAAAGATGGACACCGACGTCTCCAAAAGTCCACCTCTTCGTCAGGTGGCCGACTGCCCATGATCTTGGATATCAGTGACAAACAATGCTGCGGGAACACACCTTCAGCGCGACGAACAATGTATGCCAATTCCTGAAAGCGAATCGAGACCTTCCTCCAACCACGAGCCTTGGCACAAGATAGAGCATACGGGCCTCCTGATGTCTGCAGCTCATGCACCCTGCGCAACTTCCACCCTTGTCCTCGACCACGATACTTCCTCTCATCTGGGCCCTGGATCCCATGCACAGAAATAAGCTCCGTCTCCACGAGATCAAAGAACATCTGGCACACTCGATCCAATGCTACTTGCCCACAGCGCTCGCTCAACGAAGATTCACCTTCTCCCCAGTGAAGCAAAACCTCCTCGATGGGCCCCCAGTCAGGCGGGGCAGGCAGAGGCAATTGCGGAGCCTGGGCTGGGAATCTCCTGGGGCCTGCCATCGCCAGGTACTCTGTACGCACAAGATGTGATCTCAACCGCAAGGCCACAGGGTAGTGAGGTGAAAGACACGAATCCTGCGCACGCTCAACTCTCTCGATCGAAGGGGCAAGACCTGACGAGACCACGAAGTAGTCCAGCTCCCTCCAAACATGTCCTTTCCTGCACGTGGCTGACCCGCATGCTGCAATGTGTCCTCCCACCTTGCTAACCCAGCCGAACGTTCTGAGCTGCGACGGTGGGCAGTTCCAGTCTCCGCCTACCACGTACGGCAGACGCAAAGAGTGAAGCACTTCTCCCAGCCTGAACAATATCTGCGAACCGACATCTCCCAGGGGGTCCCCTGTAGGCAAAT